AAACCGCACTTACTACAACAACCAAACATATTCCATCAATAAATACTTAATTCCATGTCACTACTTCACCATCACATAAAACATTGTAATACTTCCCGCGCTTCTAATCTTGCGTCATTCCAAGTTACGGTTCTCCCGTTACGACAAAAATACGAAAACAATATTTCCACACTTAGAAAGCCATTCAACACATCTTCAACTCTTGAAATGTTTAAAGGTCTAATTATACCAATATAGTATCCCACACCTTACTTCCTTTAATAATCACCAGAAGTCACTATCCACCCTTCATATACTTAACTTCACAATCTGCTGCCACAGCACACACACCAGACACAAGTCTCAAAACTACTCAATCAGTTTAATTCCTTGACTATCCAAATAGACATACAATATAGAGCTCTTAATATCGGACTAGTTCCCGTAACTAAGTCAATCATAACTCCACTTCACGTCCTGGTTGTATATCACTATCTTGTCAGAATAACTTCCAGACATCCATAATTAATCGGCAAACCGTCAACTTCCCACTTTCGTTAACACTCAAATTTCCATCAAAATGAAACATCTCATCTTTATCCTGCGCCGACTCATCAAAACGATTCTTCAGCACTTGGCTTAACTCCAAACAATTCATTGTTCACGCCATCTAAGCTTGCAAGACACGTCTATCCCATCCAACACAATCCCAACTACTATCAACAAGAGATTAAGGGTGATCAGTTCCTCAATTTATCGATAGACAGCCGAAAATCATGATGGGGTATAAACCATCTTTACCAAACTATAAGAGCGTTTAACCACACACTGAGCTACAACTCCACACTTGCAGCATCCTGGAGAAGCACAAGTTTCTCCCCCACTTAGATCATTCTCACTTCTGTAGACAAAGGTTAGACAACAAACATGTATCGACAGTGTTTTCACACACGTGTCGCATACAAGGGAACAACCAACATTAGACAACTTGGCCGGACGGACCAACCAGGCTCTGATACCACTAATGTAACACCCTTCTAACCCCGCAGAATAAATATAAATAGATCAGAGTAATTATCATGCATTTCACAAAAGGGTGTCACATAAATTTTCAAAACATTACACAACACCTGTCATGCTCAATAATATAAAAATAACTTTTTGCTTTTCATACACCTTCACATTAACATGTAGCAGCAGATTTGCTTTAATCATGATAGACATAATAAAAGTCTCATGCTCATCTCATTTTTTAATACTTAGGCTTAAAAGCCAATTCTTCATATAATTCAAAATAACAACAACAGAAATAGGTAGAGTACATAAAATATCTCTCCAAATATGAAATCAAAATATTCCCCGGTGTTACATAATCAGAGCATGACTCGACCCAAAATAAATAAAGACACAACTCAAGCTACTTCAACGGCTACCTCGTGCTAGAAGCAACTCTACTCCTCAGTACCTGAGCGATGTCGTATAAAACATCATTCCAACAGAAGGGTGAGAATTCACATAATTATTGAAATTATAAGATAATATATGATTTAAGGCATACAAACATAATCACTATTATTCTCACACTTTAAAAGTTTCATCAACACAATATTATTCAAGTAACTATACTATTCACAAGTATATACACACAACTCCATAATTCACCAGTTTACCAGTTCCACATATCACACATGATCTCATAGCACATAAATATACATAATGAGACTCAATGCAAAACTCAATGCAAGACTCAATGCAACTCATGCCATGTGGTACCAACACTCGTTATTATTTTTCGGTTTTTACACTTAAACCGGGTCCGTTCCCTAGACCAATAACACACAAAAAGCCCATTCCCTAAGCTTTCAAACCCTGCTCTAGGTTTGGGACAAGTCACTAGCTCCCACGGAACTAACAAGCATTGTCTCTTGACACAAATGATGCGTATGCAAATTCACCAATCATATGCAGTTAAGACCATACACCAATCTTAATACCAAGCATATCTTCAATAATTCATCACACTTGAATTATCACACATTTGCACATACACATGCATCAACACACTCCAACTTTAATTCACACATCACTAATTAAATATAAAATATTTAAGTCATCATCAATAATTAAAAATCAATATTCATAAACAGTCAATATTAAATGGTTAATCCAATACTCAATAACCAATTCAATATGTAATAAGTAATTAATATTTTAACAAGCAATCATTATTTAAATAAATAATCAATATTTTAATAAATATGCAAGAATATTCAATAAATAAATAAATCTTTAATATTTTAATAAATATTCAACATCTTAATATAGGTTTAATATTTGAATAAAATTCTATATTTAATAAAGTTTCTGTATTTTAATAATAATCAATATTTTAATAAGTTCCAATATTCATTGAAGTCTCAATAATTTGTATAAAGTTTTAATATTCTATTAATGTTCTAATTTCAATTAAAAGTCTTTCGCTACAGAATATTAAGTCATGTATCACTTCATTTGGTTTGCGATAGCAACTTGGAGAAAACAATATTGTTTCTAGTTTCTACACTACATGAACTATCTTTCTTCAAAGCCTATATCCATTTCCTATGATTTTGTTTAAGCACTACAGTTATAAAGAAAGGCACATGCTAATACTTACTCAATTTATATAGGATACTTATTCAATTTTATTAATAAGTTGTTACAGGATATTAATTTAATGAAATATTGACCTTTCATTCTTTCTAGCGCTACAGTACTCACATTCCAATTTACTCATTACCAACCACTTCCATGCGCTACAGTTGATGAAGAAGAATAAAAATTACAATCTCTATGCTATTCTATCTGGTTCACTACAATAGTGATTAAAGGCATAATATGTTACAGTATCATAGTTTGTAAAAGGAATCACATTTATTAGATAGAAAAGAAAAATAATATGACGCTATTGTTCATCAAATATATATATTCCAATTCTAATTCTAACAAATTTACTCTAAATATTTAATAGGTCTCTATAGTATATCAACATATTAATTTCAAATACAATTAAATTAACACATCTCAAAAATTATCTCAAAAACCTAATAATTTCCAATCTCATAAAATTTTGGGGATTTATCCTAAACACTTTCTACTACTCATTTATACACTATCATATAACCCAATAATCATGCAAAAACTCACCCTTACCTTGAATTTGTTGAACTTTTGCTCTTTCTCTTGAGTTTCCTCCTCTTCTTCTCCACTCCTCTCTTTGCCTCTTTTCTCCTTTCTATCTTTTTTTTCTTTCTATTCTCTTTTATCCCATTCTCTTATTTTATATAATTCTCACAATTTTAATTAACCTAGTAATTTCAATGGGCTTAATAACTCATGTCTATTCACACCCCAAATAGGCCCAATCAATTAATCTAACAATTCTATATTATTCTACAAATTAGAATATATCATATAAGTTAAATAATAAAATTAAATCAATTATTTCGAATATGTCCAATAATTCAATTAATCCAAACAACTCAAATAAATCAAATAATTTATATAAATTCAATAAATCAACTAATTCAATTATATCAAATAAATCACATAAACTAGTTAATTCAATTAGGCCTAAAATCACATAATTAATCAATTAATTTAATTAATAAATAATTATTAAAAATTGGGGTGTTACAACAATCGAGGCGTAGGCAAATCTGTTACCCGTTCTTCTTTTTTGAAATCAGTGTTGTTTCTTCTACAAGGATGATTTCTTGATAGGAATCTACGGTGACATTCAAACCACGAACTCCCCCCCCCCCCCCCCATTTTCCCAACATATACGCCTTGGTGTCCCCATGTAATGCCATGCGTACCCCATCCAGACAACATGCCATATGCTGGAAAGTTGTTAATAGTCCACACCAAGGCAGCTCTCATAGTAAAGTCTTGTTTACTTGATATATCATAAGTCAATTCTTCAATCCATAACCTCTTCAAATCATCATCAATTAAAGGTTGTAAGTACACATTGATTCCGGCTTTTGGACTCGGCGGTCCTGGAATGAGGCAGGTCAAAAACACGTATGTTTTTGTCATACCCATCTCATGAGGGAGGTTGTAAGGTGTTACAATAACTGGCTAATAAGAATATCTCCTTCCCGACGCTTGGACATATGGAGTAAAACCATCAGAGCATAATCTAAGCCTCACATTTCTAGGTTTTGCGGCAAAATCAGTATGTATGCCATCAAATTGCTTCCATGCCTCGCCATCAGATGGATGTCGCATAGTGCTTGAACTTGTTTTGTTTGTCTGATGCAATATCATTTGACTTGCATTGTGCATTGAAGCAAACATTCTTTTCAACCTTGGTATTATCGAAAGATAAAACATGGACTTCATTGCCACATATTTTTTCTTACGCTCAATGGATTTACTACGAACTTTATATCTTGGACTCTTACAGAACTTACATTCCTCCAACACTCTGTCATTAGTACCAAACTTACTGTCATAAAACAATATGCAATCACTAATGCAACAATCACTCTTTCTTACTTCTAAATCCAACTTCGGCACCAATGACTTTGCATCATAAAAACTTGTGAACAAGTTATCTTTCATAGGAGTCGCATTGAGCATCATTTTTGCGAAGAATTCCAAACACTGATCAGGAACATTCCAATTTGACTTGGCAGCCAATAATCTCACACACATTGATAACTTTGAGTTCGACGACCCCTCAAACAAAGGCGTATTCATCTCATTCAATAACTGATAAAATCTTTGCCCTTCCTCATTTGACAACTCTTCCCCATCAAAATATTCAGGTTCATCATAGGTCTCGTTCACACCAAAAGATCCACCCACTATCTCACTGATCAGATTAAAGTTTTCCCCATGTTCTATCGGTGGTCGACTACTTGAAGCATGCGTATTATTGGTCTCTGGTACGCTACTCGGCATTCTTCTCCATTATATGTCCAAACCCAATAATTTTCAATGAAACCCCTTCTCTTCAAATGATGTTCTACTTCCTATGGGTCACTAATTATAGGTCTACATTCACATTTATGACAAGGACATCTAACTCCTCCCTCACTTCGACAACAATCCTGAGAAAATGTCCACGTGATAGACCCTTTAACTCCTTCCTCAAATTTTGGTTTAAGTTCGCGTCTTCCTAAATACAACGTAGCGTACATCCAACTACGATAGTATCTATAATATTTCATACTGCACATTTATACAATTATTGTCATTTTTATTAACAATGTGATTTTAATATCTACTTATTATAAATACTAAATTTTATGACTATGCTTAATATATATACTTACTTAAATAAAAATATTACTGAATATAATTTGGCTTACCTATAATATATTTCTTTACTAAATAGTATTTACTTAAACATAGTTATGTACATACTTTATATATATATATATATATATATATATATATATATATATATATATATATATATATATATATATATATATATATATATATATATATATATATATATATATATATATATATATATATATATATATATATATATATATATATAACTTAAAGATAATTTTACTTACTTAATATAATTTACTTTAAAAATTACATGATTTCTCAAATTGTATTTATTATTATTTTAAAAAAATAGTTATTCAAATTATATTTACTTTTACTTATCTTAAAACATTTTATTAAAAAAAATCTATACTTACTTATTATATAATACATATTTAAAACATGAATAATAATTTAAAAAATTACTTATTTTAAAAAATTATATACTTACTCAAATTTAATATAAAAATAATACTTAATAAATTAAAATTATATTTTTATTTATAACCTAATATATTATGTTTAATATATTTTATTTTTTTTAAAATATTAAACAAGTCTAATAATATATTTAATACTATATTAAATTCGAAAAAATATTTTAATATTTTTTAAAATATTAAACAATTCTGTTTTAATTTAATATTTTATAACTTGAAAAATTCTGTGTTAATTTAATATTTTATAACTTAAAAATTTATTTTTTAATTTAATAAAACCTTAAATTTGAAAAATTAGTATATAGTATTAATATATTCTATTTCTTTTCTAAAACTATTTAATAGATATTATATTTATCCTTTTTAAAATAATATATTAATTTTTTTCAAAAAACATATTAATAACCTAAATATATTTATTTATTCTGTTTATAGAAAAATAAAAAATACATCAAATTATTATTTCTTAAAACTCAAATAACCTAAACATATTAATTTTTTTTCATTTTATAACCTAAAAACATATGAATAACTTAAATATATTAACTCAAATTAATATTCTATTAATAACTTAAATATATTAATATTTTTTTAAAAAACATATGAATAACCGAAATCTAACTACCAAAACTCAAATAATAAAACAAATCTAACATATCACTCCTTGAAAAACTCTGTTTTTCTGCGGATTTTGACAAAATTTCTGTAAAAAACGTATTACCTGCGATTCTTCCTGCTATTTTTTGTTTTCAGCTAAAACTTTCGAGGGTAATTAATTTAGCAGGTAAAGTCGCAGAAAAAGGTCGTAGAAAATATCGCAGAAAAATGTCGCAGGATATATTGTAATAAATCCAAAATCGCAGATAAAGTCTCAGGAATTGCTGCAAACTTTGCTGCTATCTCAATCATTGCAGTAAATAATGCTTTACAATTTAAATTCGCTGATAAAATCGCAGGTACATCTGCAGATAAATGTCACAGCAATATCCGCAGGTCATTCCTGTATTTCTAATAATATATAACCTAAATCTAACATATTCTGTTTATATTAAAAAATCTAAACAGCAAAACATATATATATATATATATATATATATATATATATATTTGCTGTTATATATATATATATATATATATATATATATATATATATATATATATATATATATATATATATATATATATATATATATATATATATATATATATATATATATATATATATATATATATATATATATATATATATATATATATATATATATATAACAGCAAATATATATATATATATATATATATATATATATATATATATATATATATATATATATATATATATATATATATATATATATATATATATATATATATATATATATATATATATATATATATATATATATATATATATATATATATATAACAGCAAATATATATATATATATATATATATATATATATATATATATATATATATATATATTTGCTGTTATATATATATATATATATATATATATATATATATATATATATATATATAACAGCAAATATATATATATATATATATATTTGCTGTTATATATATATATATATATATATATATATATATATATATATATATATATATATATATATATATATATATATATATATATATAATATAATACTTAAATCTAACCTATATGAATATTTATGAATTTGTGAAGAAAAAAAATATAATTGTCAAAATACCTCAATGAAACAACCAAATATATTATGTCGAGTATCCTCTTCTTTTAAATAATTTAAATTAAAAACAAAAAAAAATATTAATAGTAAAATTTAATTTAATTTATAAAATATAAAATAAAGAAAAAAAGTAACAATAAAATTTTACCTTATAAAATTTGAATTGGTGTTGAAGTTAAGTTGAATTAAAGTTGAAGAGGGGAATTAATTTGAAATGAAGAGGAAGAAGAAAATGCAGAGGAAAAATTAAAAAGAGAAACAAACAAAATTTTGCGTGAGTGGTGAACTGGGAACTGAAAAGTGGTATATATATATATATATATATATATATATATATATATATATATATATATATATATATATATATATATATATATATATATATATATATATATATATATATATATATATATATATATATATATATATATATATATATATATATATATATATATATATATATATATATATATTCACATTAACGTCATGAATTTCACGTTGCAAATTGCGACGTGTTATTTATGTGGCAAATATTTTAATACCTTTGCTTTGCGACGTGCATATCACGTGACTACGTTTGACCATATTAGAGGGTCATTTAAGGTTGATTGAGCCATCAATTCAATCAGACATTGGAGTAAATGTTGTGCTGCTTTTTCTGCAAAAAACGTTTCGACGTGGAATTTACTTCACCGTGTAAAAAATCTGACTTTTTTATATGAAAAATAAAAGTTGTAACGTGTTTTACACGAAACAACAATTTTTTTAAATCTAACGCGTTTTACCATCAATCTTTTATATTTAATTATAAAAAAATTGTGACGGGTATCTTACGTCGCAATATACTTATTTTGCCACGTGAATTTCATGTGGCTATTTCACGTGGCTGGAGGACACTTTTCTTGTAGTGGTCTCTTTCTTAGCTAATCCTAGCGCTGACATCCCGTTTGCTTTTAAGGTGGGCGCGGTACTCTAGTTATTCATCTCACTCACGGTATGGTTACACATTTTCTTATCTAAAAAAACATAATTTTAGACAACTGACCATGATCAAAACCGATGTTACTGCAGTCTCGACTTGCTAATAAAATGGAAATAAATTGTACCAGCAGTCCTGTGATCCCATGTGATGGATTAAAAAAAAGAATATGTATTTACTAATTGGTAGGCTAATAACAAAAATTTTGGAGTACATTAGTCAACTTTGAGGATGAAGAACAAGATATGAATTACTAACTTTTATGTATATTCAAAATTAAAAGAGAATTCGGAAGGTATCCCCAATATAAATTATTGGATAGTTTGCATCATTATTCAACCTTAAGTTGGGGAATAAAACTCAATTGACTATTCGAAACCTTTTACATGTTATTTTAACCTAGCTTTAAAGCATGGAATGTATAGTGTTTGACCTATAAACTTGTATAATTAGTAACTTATTGCATGAAGTGTATTGGAGGAAAGCCTGTAGTGGCTCTTGACCTTTGGCATTGCATAAGTATATCTATTAGCATATGCATTTACTAATATACATTTTACATAAATCATCAAAGTTAATTTATCACATTCCTTATGTTTTCTGTTTTCTATTTTCTATTTATGTTCATTCTCTTTTGAAAAAACCTCATAGTAGATAGATCAGTAGACTCCATCTAGTTAATTTATTAGTACCTTTTTTATTATAAAATAGCTGAACAAATATTTTATCTTAAATATTCCCAAGAGTAAGGCATTAATTGGTTTGTATTATTATAAAGTATTTATTAGATTGGGCATCGTTGACAATGGTGTTAATGATACAATATACTATGAGTATATATAATTAAGCACGAAAATTAAAAGAACAACATTTAGAATTTCCCCCCTTAGATTATTAGCATTAAGAATATTTTATATTTTATGTAAAGGAACTATGGCTCAGCATGCACTCAAACCCTCTTTTGTTTATTTATGTTAAAGTTCGACATTAATACTTAAAAAAGGAATGAACAATAGAAAACATGATTGCAGACAAATTGTGCATTGGGTCATTAATCATAATAGAGTTCATTATAGAAATATTCGTATCACTAACTATGATAAATTCTTCATTAATGTTTTCAACACCGACAAGGCGACAACTTAACCATGTCTATGAGGTACGAGCATTATTAAATTCCTATAGAAAATATAAATAAAAAATTTTAATGCCGTTTTGTTCTCTTAAATTTTTAAATAAGCGATTTTAGCATTTTTATTTCTTTTATTTAATGATTTTATTCTTGTAGATTTATTAAATGTGTGATTTAGGTACCAGTCAAATTTTGAAAAGAGTTTACTATTAGGATATTTCTAGTAGAGTTTTATTAAGTCATATTATGTTTTAATTTTAAAGGGATATATTTTGATTTAATCTAGTGTCAATAATGCAGCAAAATAGAAATTTACTGCATTTGAACAACTTATCTTTTCAGTTAAAAGTGTAATGTGCATATAAAGCTCTAAGTTTTCAGTCATTCTCTCTATTTGATTAAGCTCCCGTTTAATTTATTCATTTGTGCCTTAAAAATCAACATGAGCTCCAAAAAAAAGGAAAATGTCGTTTTTTGTTTAACTTGCAAACAAAAGATAATTTCTACATGAGAGCTTAAAGATATGTCAAGTGTGTTGGAATTAATCCAAAATATTTTAAAAAAATTTAATCAATTTTAATTTTTAAAGAAAAAAAGAATTTGGCA